ATTTATGATCCTCGAGCTTCACATTATTCGCAATAGTTGCAAAGGGTAGAGGCGGGTGGTTTCCAATATGGGGCCCTCGCCTTGGCGCCGCGCGCATTCGTCTGAAACGTTTGCGGGAGTTTCAAGGGTCGAGGGGGTGGTTTGCAACACGGTGCTCTTGCCCCAGCGCTGCGCACATTCGTCCTAAACATTTGCAGCAGTTTCAAGGATTAGTGAGTGGCGGTTTTCAAAGTGGGGATCGCCGTAGCGCCTTGCATTGTTTCAAACGTTCACAAGAGCTTCAAGGATGGATATGGGATGGTGGATAGCTTAGTGCCGCGCGATTTCTATTCAACATGTTGCAGCAGGTTGAAGATTGGAGGGAAGTTCTTTTTGGAGATGGGATTCTCGCCTGGGCTCCGCGAGCATTCGTTCCAATCGCTTGCAGCAGTTTCAACGCTGGAGGGGAGGCGTTTTTTTCAAACTGAGGCTTGCTCGATCGCCGCACGCAATCGTCTTAGACGCCCGCAGCAGAGTCAATCCTGGATGCGGGGTGGGGGGTCGTTTGCAAAATGGGGCTCTCGTTTTAGTTTTTTGATGCTGTTGTGTTTTATATGGTGTTTTATGTATCAAAACCAGAAGCTTGACCATTTGGAATGGCTGCGCGGATGAAGGGCGGTTCCTTTCTCGAAAACGGGGACCTTGCCTCAACACTCTTCGAAGTGCACGGTCCGAGGTGCAGGCTCGCGCAGAGGAGTTACACGTGCACGGGGCGGTCCCAACCAGGGCCTCGCCTCTGAGGGTCGAGGGAGCTGTCGTCTCTTCCTCGGCGGAAGGGCGGCGGAAGGGCGGCGGAAGTAAAACGAGGCCGCCTCCGCCGGCGGCGGAAGCTGGCGGAAGGGCGGCGGAAGGAGGTGGAAGTAAAAATTAGCCTGGCAAAGGACCCAACCACATGCAGATGAGAATACCGCAATAGTGAATACTGTCCTCGGTGGTGTTCCCTAGGAGGGCCGCGAACCGCGTGAGGGGCGTGCGGAGCAAGCGGTCGGGCTGGCCGAGCCAGAGGCGTCCTTCCCTGCTCTTTCTTCCCCCTCCTCCCCCTCCTCCTCCTCCTCCTCCTCCTCCTCCTCCTTCTCGTCCTTCTCCTCCTCCTCTTCCTCCTCTTCCTCCTCCTCCTCCTCCTCCTCCTCCTCCTCCTCCTCCTCCTCCTCCTCCTCCTCCTCCCTCTTTCCCGGCTGTGCGCGCGTCAAGCGCGCAAATTGGTGTGGCTGCGCCACCGTGGCCTCCGATGGAGCTTCCAGTGGGGCCACGATGCGCTGTACTGGGTGGGGAAGACGCGTGCGGGCTGCGCGGCTGGGACCTTTGGTAGACCCCCTTATGGGGCCACGAAACGCTGTGCTGGGTGAGGAGGACGCAGGTGGGCACCGCCACTGCAGCCCAAGGTGGAGCTCCCTGTGGGGCCACGAAACGCTGTGCTGTGTGGCAGAGACGCACGTGGACACCGCCACTGGGGCCCTCGGTGGAGCTCCTCATGGGGCCACGAAATGCTGTGCTGGGCGTGGGAAACGCATGCGGCCACCCCCACCTGGGGCCTTCGGTGGAGCTCCCTATGGGGCCACGAAGCGTTGTCCTGAGTGTGGGAGACGCCTGCGGCCACCCTCACTGGGGCCTTCGGTGGAGCTCCCTATGGGGCCACGAAGCGCTGTCCGGAGTGTGGGAAACGCATGCGGCCACCCCCACTGGGGCCTTCGGTGGAGCTCCTCATGGGGCCACGAAAGGCTGTCCTGGGCGTGGGAGACGCATGCGGCCACCCCCACCAGGGCCTTCGGTGGAGCTCTCCATGGGGCCACGAAGCGCTGTCCTAGGCATGGGATGCGCATGCGGCCATCCCCACTGGAGCCTTCGGTGGAGCTCCTTATGGGGCCACGAAACCTGTGAGGGGTGTGCCAACATGGGGCGGCGCCGCTATGCAAGTTCCGCCACTGTGACCTTAGGTGTAGCTCCCTATGGGGCCACGAAACGTGTCAGGGCGTGCCAAGATGGGGCGGCGCCGCCATGCGAGTTCCGCATTTGAGACCTTAGGTGGAGCTCCCTATAGGGCCACGAAACATGTGAGGGGTGTGCTGACATGATGACGTTGATGATGGTGGTGATGATGATGATGATGATGATGATGATGATGATGATGATGATGATGATGGTGACGAAGCTGATTTTGATGATACTGAAAATGATGATGAATTTGATGATGATGATGATGCTGATGCTGATGCTGATGCTACTGCTGATGCTGCTGCTGCTGCTGCTGCTGATGATGATGATGATGATGATGATGATGATGATGATGATGATGATGATGATGATGATGATGATGATGATGATGATGATGATGATGATGATGATGATGATGATGATGATGATGATGATGAGGATGAGGAGGAGGAGGAGGAGGAGGAGGAGGAGGAGGAGGAGTAGGAGGAGGGAGGAGGAGGAGTAGGAGGAGGAGGAGGAGGAGGAGGAG